AACCAAATCAGAACATGACAGTCAGCACAGCATACAGCTCTTTCTTTTCTTTCTTTTTTTGAGATTGGGAGTCTCACTTTGTCACCCTTCGTAGAGTGCTGTGACATCACAGCTCACAGCAACCTCAAACTCTTGGGCTTAAGTGATTCTCTTGACTCAGCCTCCCAAGTAGCTGGGACTACTGGAGCCCACCACAACATCCGGCTATTTTTGGTTGTAGTTGTCATTGTTGTTTGGCAGGCCCAGGCTGGATTCAAACTCTCCAGCTCCGTTTTATGTGGCTAGTACCATAGCTGCTAAGCTACAGGCACCAAGCCAGCTCTTTCTTTAAAGAACTCTTATTCCTTTTGGTGAGAAATAGTATTTAGAGATGATAATCTGGGTATCAGGAGTGTTCAGTACTACTGATTGGACATTTTTCCTAGGCTTTTTCCATGGTCAGAGCTAGGGAGTATTTATTTGTCTGTTTACTTAAGATTAGAGATATATATATATACACACACAGAGATATATATATATACACATATACATATGCACATATATATAGCATCATAGTGAGCTGTCCAGTTCAAATTTGGAGTTTTTAATTTAACTTCATTAGTCTTAATACCTTATCTTCCCCTAAATACCTCGGTTCTCAACAGTACCATCATAATTATTCATTTACTTTATCCCACAACACAACAATATAGGAATATTATACATTATCTCTAACAATGTGATAACTGAAAAACTAAAAATCTTTTTATTTTTTTTATATATGCATGTGTTTATTAGGTTTTTACTTTTTGCCTTCACAAAATTAAAAAGGCTTAAAATTGAATAACAATAACAGTGTTTAAGATAAGGACTAGAAACAAAAACCTTGTAAAGAACGAACAAAGATAAATACATTTGGAAAAGAAATCATATGATTGCTGCATCGAAATATTAAGCAATAATAATAATAATGCAAGGAAAGTAACATTCACATTGTCAGGTAAGGGTATGTCTATCATAGAATGCTTTGACTCTGAGGTTCCGTATGGAGTCATCAGTTAACTTCTTCTTATTTTTTTTCCCAAAGTCTCAAAAAATGGACAACTAATATTTATAAATAAAAGATAATTTCAAAAAACAGATCATGCTAAATCTTATAGACAATAGAAAAAGAAGAAATACTTCAAAATCATTCTACTTAATGTGGATACACCTGATACTAAAATTGGAGAAAATACAAAGGGGAAATTACAAACATATTTCACTTATAAATGAGGATGCAATATCCTAAACAACATATTAACAAGTTGAATTAAAAATCAATGTTTAAGTAAAGTACTTTGGTCAAAATTAAATCCAATTTATGTGAGAATTAGTCACTCTTTTCATGTTTTTTTTTTTTT